TTTTTTTTTTTCTTTTGAGACAGGGTCTCATTCTGTTACTCAGGCTGGAGTACAGTGGCACAATCTTGGCTCACTGTAGCCTTAACCACCCAGGCCCAGGTGATTCTTCCACCTCAGCCTCCTTGAGTAGCTGGGACCACAGGCAGGCATCCCCTGCTAATTTTTTGTATTTTTTGTAGAGACAGGCTTTTGCCATGTTGCCCAGGCTGGTCTCAAACTCTCAGGCTCAAGCAGTCCTCCCACCTCAGCCTCTCAAACTGCTGGGATTATAGGCGGGAGGCCTGCACCAGGCCTCTTTCGCTAATTTTTTCTTAATGTAGCAAGAAATAATCACTAGGGATTAAGTTACCATAGAAGACAATTTTCTGCTTCTTTGAGCTGCCTATTCAACCACGAACAGTTCACTTTGCATCCACCCTAGTTTTGCAAGGCACACCTGCCTTTAAAATAAATGTATCAGACCTTATAGGCAATAAATTTTCCCTCCTTTGATCTCTTATCACATTGTATTTCAAAACATCAAAGAGTCTAAAGCTGTGTCTTGAATAGTAGCCAAACCTCAAAAAGCACAGCTGAGTTTGATCTTAAGCCCACAAAATCAGAAGCCTTGCAAACTCAGCCACAACTCATAATAGTATGCTGAAATGGTTCTTTTCTGTCTGCAATTTTAAGCCTTAAAGGATTAGATAAAAATGTATAGCTGAATAATGAGATTTTTTTTTAAACCAAAGGCCGACCTCCTAACTAGCCATTATTCACATGATGATAGCAGGATCCTTCAGTATTGTCCCTACCCCAATGGGCCACTTTCCTCTAGATTACGGACAGAGAAGTGGGTTTGTCACAGATTCCTGAGTCAGTCCCTGCCACCCAATCTAAGTCAGTGCTGCCAGCCACCATCACTGCTGTCAGCTCAGGGTTCCAAACCTCTGCTCCCAGCGCCCTTCAACCCCTATTCATTGTCTTGTTTCCTGCAACTGCTTATTTTTTCAACACGTAGTTTACTCCAAGTGTAAGAAAACCACCCCTTCTTCACTAAACATGTATTATTAGTACACAGTTCCTTTACAAAGGTTTAAGGTGAACAAAGGATAATTACAGCACGGTGTAGAAACCTTCAAGTTGAAGTCTACATATCACTTTTATGAAAGGTTCCTCAGTCCTCCTGATCATCTTTCTCCACAAACACCTTCCTTTTGTCATGGTTCTGGATCCCTCTCTCTCCTTCCCTCCAAACCATTCTTCTATCTTTCTTATATTTCCTACTGCTATAAACTTTAGCCAAAGAGGGCATTTCTCAAATTTCTGTTACTTTATTCTGCCAAGAAAATCTAAGCTTTTTATTTCACTCTTTTCCTTCCAGACATTGCCTAGAGACTTCAGCCCTTCAAACTAACCGAAAAAAAAAAAAAAAAGCTAATCAAGGTATCTTCCAAGCAAAAATTCACTTTTTTTCTGTGTAAGGAATGTGCCATTCTCCTAGGTATCTGGCAAAAGCTGTATGCATCCTTAAAATAATAATTTTTCCTTTCTGTTATTAAAACATACCAGAAATTTTACAGTCAAATGACTGTTGTGCTCTCCAAAGAAGCACCATGAGAGGGTATTCACTTACTGAAATCATGTGATCATCACTCCAAATAGCTTCAATTATCTTCTAAACAATGTACTAATTCCTCCAGAAAAATGGCTCACTGGTATGTTCCAAGACACCTTCTTTTGGTCCAATTCTTTTACCTTTGCATTGAGTTCTCATTCTCATTACTACATTCATTCAATCAACTCACAAATTAACATGCCATGAGGTATGGCAGACACAGTCCTAGTACCCAAGTAATACAGAAGTGGCTATCCCAGTGCAAGCCATGAACCAAGGCTTGCGGGGTGGGGAGGTTCTGTGTCATTGGAGTAAGTCTGAAGTCAGAAGGAATTTTATCAAGCTGTCACTAGCTTATATAGATACTTTAGGCCTGAGAAGGACAGTTGTTGCCTGCAGACTGATCATCCATGCCTCTAGTTCATAGAGATAACAGTACATTTCTACAAGTAGGCTATTAATGCTGCCTCCCTCCTGAAAATATTGTATGTAGTTGGAATGCTTAAAATTGAACTGTACTAAACTCTCACTCCTTTTCATTTATTCATTTATTCATTCAACCAAGAAGTACATATTTTTCTATGGGCTAGAGGAGGAGGATGGCTGCATCTATGGAGTGTCACACTCATTTATAATTATGTTCTAGGCATGTGTCACATCAACTGAATAAACAAAGAATTGCCTGCTATCTTACCATCACAATAACACATCTTCATAATAGTTTTGAATCATTAGTTTAAAAACTTATTATATCTAGTATATTATTGTGGAGAGAAGGCAAGAATATAATGTATTTTATTTTAAAAAGTAAAGTAATCTGTAAAAGTAATTAATTTAACTCTGCATTTGAAGTCTTAATCTTCAGCTATATGGAAAATTCCAATGTTCAGAAAGATACTTTTCTCCAAGGATTCCAGAGAATAAAATTTACTTGGTAATAATTTACAAGTCTATTTTAGGCAATTAAATGTCTTAATTCTGAAATAATTTTTAAATGAACTTCTTCTCAAAATTTTTAATTTATATTTCATATGACATGTAAAAGAAGGAAAACTTGCATAACTGTTTCTTACGTTCCACTTTTGTTATTTGAGCCACTGCCAAAGAAAGTTGTGAGGTATCCAAAGTTTTTCTTTGGTATACTCCTCCCTAACTCCCCAAATCTTGGACAGCACTTTGAAGCTATGAGGCTCTGTGGCTGCTCAAGGCTTCTCCAGATCACTGAACCTGAAGACATCTCATCCCTGACTCATTCTTCAAAACATAACCGTCCTTAGTCATATTCCTTCCAGCACTCCACTGCAAATTGGGTTAACCTCATAAACTAACCCAAGTGTACTTATGAATTAATGATGACAGTAGGTTAATATGCTGCTGTTCTCAGAGAAATGAGCCAAACAATAGTAAATTTATAGAACTAAAATACTCTAAGAATAGGAAATCATTTTCCTATTTGCGGTCACTCACCAACTAAGTATTAAAAAAAATCAAGGGTTATGACAAAAAAAAATCAAGGGTTACAACAAAAGCAAACTAGCTTACATTTAACTTTAGTTCTTTAGTTTGAGAAAAAGAGGAAATGGAAAAATACTACTAATTGACATGTGTATATAGTTTGCATTTGTATTTAATGTACCTATATAATACAATATATATATGTATATATTTTTATTTAGTTTAATATTTAAAACAATGCTGTAAGTTCATATTATTCCTATTTTATAGATAAGAAAACTTATGTTCAAAGAGGTTATCTTACTGACCATCAAACAGCAAAGCTGGGACTCTAAATAATTCTAATTCCGAGTCAAGTGTTTTTCACTATGCCACAGCTTCTACAAGTGTTCATAATGCCTACTTTTAAATTAAATAAAAGAAACAGAAAAGTATACTACATACAGTAAGACTATACTTTGATTTCACATATAGCTGGTTTTCAAAGGAAATGGGACCTAAGATGGAGAGGGAGAGTGGGCAAGCCAAGCAAGAGGAAAAGAAAAATATTATGAGTCAGGAAATACCAAACACAGAGAAAGAGAATAAGGAAGGGAAAGAAAGAAAAAGACAGCTGTAACTGAAAGAAAGGATGAGCTGAAGTCCAGGCCGTTCCAGGTCCCCACTCGGTCTTTCTTCTAGCCACATGCAGACTTCACGTCTCCTGGCTCTGCACTCCTCCTCCTCTGTTTCGGCTGCTAAAACTCTTCCCTGGTCTAACTTGCACAGAGAGCTGTGGGCTACTATTTCCACAGATCCCCAGAGCCCTGACCTTATCTTGGTCTAATCATGGCAATCACCATTATTAGTTTTCCTTCCACTTATTCAGTGAACAAAACTAAAAGCAATTCACTTTAGAAATCTGCTTATCTCCTCTATCTCTGAGAATTAATGGAGACCCAAACACCTGCCTGATAATAATGAAAGTATTATGGCAGAAACAAAGCAACAAAGCCAAACCAGGACTTCTGTCACCTCGACAGTCAATGCCCAAAGTTGCCTATGTATCCATTTCTCACTGAAAAATCACTATCTCTGAGTTACACAATAGATAATAAAATGACTACACATAGTCACCACTTACATTTCTAAGTTTTTGTTTTAGTTAGCCAATTTATTATTTAGGTAAATTAGGTATAATTGCTTTCAAAAGGAGATAAACATCCTATATTACTAGCATTTAACACATTTCTTAAATAATTGGCATAATATGTTAATTAAAAGAACTGTGAATTTGAAGCTCTTAGTAAGTGAGTGACTTTGGGCAAATTACTTAATATCTTTGAACTTTAGGTTCTTCATCTATAACATGGGGCTAATAAAGGAGTATTAAACACAAAGGTAGTTTTTAAATAAGTTGAGTGCTTGAAACCGTACCTGGCATATAGCAAGGATTCAACAAATATTATTTCTTATTATTACTTCTATTAGCCATTAGCTTTGCCACCTAGCTGCATGAAACTTAACTATAGTATACCTTTTTGCCTTTTTAAAAAATAGATTAATTGTAGAAGTTTTAGGAAAAACTTTAAACCCTATCTCTACTAATAATACAAAAATTAGCCAGGTGTGGTGGTGCATGCCTGTAGTCCCAGCTACTCGGGAGGCTGAGGAAGGAGAATAGCTTGAACTAAGGAGGTGGAGGTTGCAGTGAGCCAAGATTGTGTCACTGCACTCCAGCCTGGGCGACAGAGTGATATTCTGTCTAAGAAAGAGAGAGAGAGACAGAGAGAGAGAGAGAGAGAGAGAGAGAGAGAGAGAGAGAGAAAGAAACAAACAGAAAGAAACAGAAAGAACAAACTTTAAAAAATAACATATGGAAAGCAACAATGAAAAGTAAAAGTTGAATAGTGATAGATATATATTAAAATTGAAAAGCAGCACTGGCATCCTTTTACAACTGGTTTACCTCAAAGTCTATCAGCTGCAGGTCAGCTATCAGTGTCACCAGCAGGCCACTGTTGTACAGCTCCTGTGCCAGCTGAGCCACTGCTTCAGTCGGGGGTTCCTTTTCATTTGTACCACACAGAATTTCTTTCATTGCTTGCAGTGATTTTGACACTTCTTCTGAAGCCTAGTGAGCAAAACATATGCTAACATTTAAAAGAATAAAAATTTTTAGGCCATTAACAAACAAGTAATCCCAAAAAAGCTACTTCTTGGGCCCTGTTTATTTATAATCAATGGTACAGTTACAAACAAGCCAAAATAGTAACCACTGCCTTTTTTATTTTGGAAAACATTACTAAAATTTACTTATATAAAAAAGCTCTCTTGCATTTCTACTTAGGCAACATAAATTCAATAATCTTTTAAACCACACTCATTGTCTAATTTTGCTAGCAATTCAATATAAATTTTACTCTTGAAAACTGATTCCATTTTGAAGATTTATCAGTAGCTACTAACCTTTATTTAAAGCACCGTGTTAAGGTTTTTCAGCAAATCCCTACTCTTCCGATTTTTGAATGGTCCAAGTATAAAATTGTAAGTTTTCAAAACTCATAAACTTCTTTGTTAATCCATTTTTTCCTCATATGTAATCACTGTCTTCTTTGCTATCTATGAAACTTAAAAAAAACTCACTATATTTTAAAGAATACTAGGCAAATCCATAGAGGCAGAAAGTACATAGATTAGTGGGTGTTAGGGCCTGGGAGAGAGGAAAAAAAGGAATGGCTGCTAGTGGCTATAGGGTTTCTTTCGGGGTGATGAAAATGTTCTAGAATTAGATAGTGGAGATGGTTGCACAACCTTGTGAATGTACTGAAAACCAGCAAATTGTACACTTTAAATAGTGAATTATATGGTATGTTAATTATATCTCAATTTAAAAATCTTTTAAACTAATGTAGATAGGAAAGAAGAGCAGGCTAGTTAATTTCTCTGAAATTTTAAAAGAAATATACTTTTATTACTTTTAAGTATAATACTATAATCATTATAAATGAAGAAGGAAATGAGTAGAATAAGGCAACTTACATAAAAATAACTCATGGTAGCATGACACTACTTTTATTATTTATTATTTTTTAATTTTTCTCTGGCTCTGCTTCTTGGGTGACACTACTTTTATTTATTTATTTATTTTTGAGACAGTTTTGCTCCTGTCACCCAGGCTGGAGTAGAATGGCACAATCTCAGCTCACTGCAACCTCTGGCTCCTAGGTTCAAGCGATTCTCCAGCCTCATCTTCCCTAGGAGGTGGGATTACAGGCACCCACCACTATGCCTGGCTAATTTTTGTTTTAGTAGAGATGGCGTTTCACAATGTTGGCTAGGCTGGTCTCAAACTCCTGACCTTAGGTGATCCACCCACCTCGGCTTCCCAAAGTGTTGGGATTACAGGCATGAGCCACTGGGCCTGGCTGACACTACTTTATAAAGTAATTTTTCATATACTTTTAATAGCCTGACTGAAGCAATCCTTAATGTACTAAAGACTGGAAGCATCTTAAATTGTGAGATATATCCACAGAAGAGGGCTTTAAACATACATAGAGAGTATGTTTAAGAGAGAGTTAAGAATAATCATAAAGGAAACATCTTTGTGATCATCACTCAGTCAAGAAACAGAACATTTTCAGCACCTAGGAGTCACCTGAAGACCCTTTCAGCTTAGATGTAAATACTTTTATATCTATTGTGACAAACATGTCTTGTCTTTTCTTTACAGTTTTCATACCTATGTATGCATCCCAAAACAATATAGATTAGTTCCACTGATTTTGAACTTTATGAACCAGCACATTACCCTTTCATGATTTGCTTCTTTCAGTCAACATTATATTTGAGAAATGCATCTATGCTGTGGCATATAGGCAGAAAGTCTTTAATTTTTATTGCTTTCTAGTGTTCCACCCTAATGCCCTATGCCACAACTTTTTTTTACTGGTTCTACTGTTCATGGACATTGGATTGTTCCTATTGAGGGGTTTTTGCAAACTACAATGCTATGAAAATTCGTGTACATTTTTCCTGGTGTAGATGTGCAAGAATATCTCTAGAGTTTATACCTAGGAGTGGCACTACAGGATTTTAGTTTGTGCATATTTTTGTATTTCACAGACAATACTAAACTGGCTTCCAAAGCAGTTATATCAACGTATACATCATCATCCACAGTTAATGAAAGTCCTCATTGCTCTCCATTCTTGACAACACTTAACATCATCACACCTTTTCATTTTTGCCAAGACAGGAGTTGTGTAATGTGAATTTATTGTGTTTTTAGTTGGCCTTTTCGTAATTAGTAAAGAAAATGTATAAAAGATGTTTTTTTTCTTTTTTCCATCTTTTACCACTTAGATTTATACTTGTAAAAAGTCCATTTTTCTTCTATTTAGGTCAAGATTTGGCTCAATATTACAAAGTATAATGGAATTAAAATAAGCTATTTCTATACCCCTTATAGAATTCAAGATTGTATCATTTACTGGAATAGAAGACTACTATGAACTTGAGTATTTATTTTATAGATATCTTGAATCTTGTCATAAACTAGTCACTTTAGAGAGAAATCGAATATATAGGATTCAATATCCCTTTGAAGGAATAACTAACATTCCTGTTGAGGAAGCCCCACTTAATAAGACCTTAAAATTATATGAAAAGGAGATTTGCTGTAACAGAAACTATCAGTCAATCTTCAAATAAAAAACTTTTTACCTTTCATGTCAATGTAACATTACACACCATTATAACCTTTTAGGCTTTTAAGCTGTGTAGTCTAGAGGGACCCAGTGTTGGTCAGAATCTCTAGAGAGTAAACCTAAAGTTCATCACAACAGACTAAACAATAATCAGTTGCATAAAACCTGAAATCAACTTAAATCTATTTATAGAGACCCCATGTGCACATCACAGGCCATATTTTGAATTCCTCGTTAAGCTTTTACACTGATGTTTGGCATTGCAATGCATGTACTTTAATCATAATGTTACTGTTTTAGCTCATACCTTGTCTGTCTTTTTGTCTTGCTTTTCCAAAACGGCCAAATTGTCTTTCAGGATTTTCACAATTTCTGCTGGATTTTTGTGTGATTTACTAAACAAAGGCATTCTTTTCATATGTAGAAATCTCTTCTTCCAATATGGAATGCTAAAAACAAATAAGCCAACAAAAATTACAACTTTAACTCTTAATATGCTTAAATTTGGAACCAATATGTCGTATAAATTTTTAACAACATGAATTAGGTAATCTGAAACATTAAAAATGATCAAATTAAAATGAGTTCCAAGTTTTATGCCAAATGTAAATACATATAAAATATTTTTTAAATGTATTTTTAAAGTTTTGCTTGAAACTTTTTATACAAAGTTTAAAATCTTTTCTGCAATAGAAATATAAGGATTATGCAAGAAATAATTTTAGAGTCTAAGCTGATATGTAAAACTAGATATTTTGAACAACGGAATAATAATATATTCTATAATATTAAGCTGTATGTATTCTATAATGTTTAGCTACTATTATTACAAGAAGGTCTATGACATAGTTAATGAATTATTTCACTAAAGAGAAAGGCACAGTAGTTGGGAGATGATTCTATCTTAAATGCCCTAGACATTTCTGGCTCTTTGAGTTAATTATACTTTTTTCCATTATTAAAAAAAAAACTTATCCTCTGAATGCATAATACTCAATGTTCAAATATTTTGCATTAAAGTAGAATTTTAAAAAGAAGCCAAATGCATTCATATATAGACATACCAAGGAGATACTGTAGGTTCAGTTCCAGACCATTGCAATAAAGCAAATTTCTCAATAAAGTGAGTCACAAAATGTATTTGGTTTCCTAGTACCTAAAAAAGTTATATTTATGCTATACTGAAGCCTATAAAGTATGCAATAGTATTATATCTAAGAAAACAATATGTATGACTTAATTTATAAAAATATTTATTGCTAAAAATGCTAATGATCATCTGACCCTTCCTTCAGTGAGTCCTAATCTTTTTGCTGGTTGCAGAGTCTTGCATGAATGTTGGTGGCTGCTGACTGATCAGGGTGTTGGTTGCTGAAGGCTGGAGTAGCCGTAGCGATTTCTTAAAAGAAGACAATAAAGTTTGCTACTTTTACTGACTCTTCCTTTCATGAAAGATTTCTCTATAGCGTGTGATACAGTTTGTTAGCATTTTACTCCCAGTAGAACTGCTTTCAAAATTGAAGTCAATCCTCTCAAACCCTGCCACTGCTTTAACAGCTATGTAATATGCTAAATCCTTCATTGTCATTTCATCTTCACCAGCAGATTCCACCTCAAGAAAACACTTTGCTCATCCATAGAAGAAACATTCCTCATCTGTTGAAGTTTTATCATGAAATTGCAGCAATTCAGTCACATCTTCAGGCTCTACTCCTAATTCTTGTTCTTTTGTTATTTCCACCACATTGGCAGTTACTTCCACCACTAAAGTCTTGAACCCCTCAAAGTTATACATGAGGGTTAGAATCAACTTCTTCTGAACTCCTGAAAATATTGATATTTTGACCTCCGCCCATGAATCACAAGTGTTCTTAATGGCATCTAGAATGGGGAATCTTTTACAGCAGGTTTTTCTATTTAGTTTGCCCAGATTCATTAGAGGAATCACTATCTGTGGCAGCTTTCACCTTATGAAATGTAATTCTTTAGGGTTTTAAAAAAACTTTTATTAGAACAATATGAACATATGAAATGTATTTCTTTAGCAAGTCTGAAAAGTCAAAGTTACTCCTTTGTCCATGGGCTGCAGAATGGGTGTTAACAGGCGTGAAAACAACATTAATCTCCTTGTATACCTCCACCAGAGCTCCTGGATGATGAGGTGCACTGTCAATAAGCAGTAATATTTTCAAAGGAATATTTTATTCTGAGCAGTGGGTCTCAACAGAGAGCTTAAGATATTCAGAAAACCATGCTGTAAATAGATGTGCTGTCATTCAGGCTTTGTTATTCCATTCATAGAGCACAGGCCAAATAGATTTAGCATAATTCTTAAGAGCCCTAGGGTTCGGGGGATGGGAAATGAGCACTAGCTTCTACTTCAATTCACCAGCTGCATTAGCCCCTAACAAGGGAGTCATCAGCTTGTCCTGTAAAGCCAGGCACTGACTCCTCCTTTCTAGCTATGAAAGTCCTAGATGGCATCTTCTTCCAATGCAAAGGTGTTCCATCTGCGTTGAAAATCCGTTTTTTTGTGTGGCTATCCTCACCAATGATCTCAGCTAGCTCTTCTGGATAACTTGCTGCAGCTTCTACGACAGCATTTGCTGCTTTCCCTAGCACTTTTATGTTCTAGAGATGGCTTCTTCCCTTAAACCTCATGGAGTAAACCTCTTTTAGCTTCAGACTTTTCTTCTGCATCTTCCTTACCTCTCCCACTCTTCACAGAACTGAAGAGAGTTGGGGCCTTGCCCTGGACTAGGCTTAAGAGAATGTTGTGTCTGGCTTGATCTTCTATCCAGGTCACTTAAACTTTCTTCATATTAACAATTAGCTGTTTTGTTTTCTTATTATTAGTGTTTTCATTGGAGTAGCACTTTTCATTTTCTTCAAGAACATTTCCTTTGCATCCACAGCTTGGCTAACTTACTGATGCAAAAGCCCTAGCTTTCAGCCTGCATCAGCTCTGGATACGCCTTCCTCACTTTTGATATAAAGTGAGAGATACGTTACTCTTCTTTTTACTTGAACACTTAGAGGCCACTATAGGGTTATGAGCCGGACTAATTTCAGTATTGTTGCATCTCAGGGAACAGGGAGGCCTCAGGAGAGTAAGACAGGGGAAAGGCCAGTTGATGGAGCAGTCATAACACAAGCAACATTTATTGATTACGGGCACAGTTTGTAGTGTCCTGAAACAATTACAATAGTAACATCAGAGATCATTGATCACAGATCACCATAACAGATGTACTAACAAATGAAAACGTTTGAAGTATTGTGAGAATTAAAAAAATGTATCAAGAGATACAAAGTGAGCACATGCTGTTGAAAAAATGGCACCAATAGACTTCCTCTGTACAGGGTTGCCATAAACCTTCCATTTTTCAAAAACACAGTGTCTTCAAAGCACAATAAAGGTGAAACACAATAAAATAATGTATACCTGTAATTGCTTTCTTTCTCCCTGTAGTTCTACAGCACTAAGGGAAAGATATATAATTGTAGGAATTTTAAATACTCTCTGACATCAAAACAGAGTACAAATTATGACATAGTACCACAAAGATAATATGATATGATTTTTGTCCATTATTACTCTCCTTGGTTCTCACTATAACAAGCTAATGCTAATTTTCTTAAATTAAACATTTTTTCAGGGCTTCCCTGTCAATCTGGTGGTTAGCTACCATTTTCTGATTCACTATCTCCCCTTTTCATCTGAAGGTGGGTTTGTTTATTTATTCATTGAATAAATAATCTGAGTAATTACTGAGCAGAGGCACTTTGCTAAATACTAGGGATAGAGCCACAAACAAGAAAAACACAATCCCTGCTCTTTGGAGCTTCTTATTAAGTGGCAAAAGTAAACACTTTAGGGGCAATGGTGTCATACAATGGGGAAATAACATATAGTATATTGCCTCAATACAATCTCTTTTCAAAAGTTATTTTCATATTTTACTATACCCACTTATTGTAATGAATATAATATTAGTTTAACAATGTTTTAAAATTTCATCTGATCATTATTCTTCCATTTTGGGATCCATATTTTGAAGGAAATAAAAATTCATACTCTTAAACTATACTTGAGTTCCAGCACCCAGACCCCCTGCAAATTAAGGCAGAACTCTCTTGCCTGCCCCAGTTCTTCTCAGACCATGGCCAGCCCCACTCCACTCCCAGACCAAACACCTCCCCCATCACCTGGAAACTTGGGGCTGTCCTTCTCACACCCTGGGCAACCATGCTGGTCACTGTATATGCATCTTCTCCAATCACATCATTTACCCCACTGGTGGTCATTTAAGCATTGAGCCAAGCAGCACTCAAGCCTTCTACACAAACACAAGACATGTAAACTCCCTCTAGTTGATTGACAACTGATCTACTGTAAGATTCAAAAGAAGTTAATCACCCCCATCTAGGTGTCGTTTGTTCTCTCTGTAAAATGAAGCTGTTCTTAAAGTAAGATTGTGCATCAGGGCTCTAGGTTATTCATCACTGTTCCACATCCATTCTGAGTCTTTAACTCCCAATATCTTATCATGGCCAAAGATAAAGTGATTAAGTGGGAAAAAAAGAAATGGAGAGGCCTGACAATGGTGCTTTAGGGGGATAAGGTAGTAGCAATTTTTTTCATAAAGTCTACCTTGGAGTTTTAAGAACATACATTATATTTCAGCAAAGCAGGCAGTGGGGACAGGAAAAGATGCATGTTAGTCCAAAAACTGACACTAGATAAATGCATTGAAAAGTGTGTTAGGCATTGAAAACTGTGTTGAGACCATGCACATCAACCTGCCCTCTGCATTAATTCTGACAGCAGGCCATGCAGCACAGAAATGTTAGTGGCCTGACAATGGCCCTCTTGTACTTTTCCTCTTCCAGGAGTTGGTAAGCAGAATAAACAAATAGTAGGTTGTTCTTTTTAATCATTATTAAATGAACACAAGAAAAGGAAATTAATGCCCTGAAGACTTGAGCAAGAAAGGTTGCTTCTGAAATTAATTCTCTATAAAGCTAGAACAGGCATAAATTTCAGAAAAGGAGACAAAAAGATCTTTTAGACAAAAAGAGAGCTGGCCAAGGTAAAAACATGCACACATAAACATACACATGCCCGAAATGCAGACTGGGAATCCCAAACCACATAGAGCAGAAGGACAATACAGAAAATGGATCTGGGGCAACTTCAGGGTACAAAATTAGTCTGCATGTATTCATTCAAAAAATATTTACTGAGCACTTATAACATACAAGGCACTGAACAAGGAAATACAAAACAAAGAAGCCTCAAAGGGCTCACAATGTAGTGAGAGGCACAGATACATCCAGAATTTTCCCAGAAGGTGAGAAAGGTCAAAAAAACTAAAATGAGAAAGAAAAGATATATAAGCTGTTAGATACATACCTTTATATCTATACAGGTATTTCATAGCAATAT